AAAAAAAACATAAAATACATCCTCACCTTACACCACAGAAAAATAAGCTCTAGTTGGGTGTGGCTGACAGACTCTGGTCCTTCCCCAGTTCCTGCCTCCCTTGGTGTAATCCCCTCCCCTTAAGTGTGGGGTCAGTAAGTTGAGGCTGGGGTTGCAGTCTTGTGGCAGTTCCAATGTCACCCATGGCACTGGGATGGGGGAACCCTCACTGCCGTTTTGCAAGGATGGCCGTGCACACATCCAAACCGCCTCTCTCCCAGTATGTCAGGGTCGCCAGCCCCTTTATCCACCAGCCCCAGAACAGGCTGGCAAGAGGGTAGGAGTCAAAGAACTATATTGAGTCAAGGAAGCATTCTGAGGGGCGTGTGCCTGGAAGGACCCACCTTCAGGGGAGGGGTACTTGGAGGTCAGTGTCCACTTGCCCAAACAGCCCACTCTGAGCACCTGGATGGGAGCCAGGGCCCGTGCGTCCTGCCCAGGAGAGGGCTTCAGCTATATAGTCCCACAGCTATCTGTGCCAGCCACCTACAGCTCTAATTGCTCCATGCTTTGTGCTGTGAGCATTTGGAGGCTCGCAAACACGTCTCACTCATTGTCATGACCCCAGGGCACAGCTAAGTGCCAGGCATAGTGGGCACTCAGGAAACGTACATTAAATAAACCAGTCCAGCAAATGCCCACGTAGCTGACACATGTAACCAACAGTGACAACTGGGGGAAATGCCATGTGGATGGACACACCCAGGCTTCTGAAATGTGCCGACATCAACATCCCCGGGGCTCAGCGTTCTGCCTCGGTCCTGAGCCTGTCAGCCCCCCGCCCCCAACCCAGCTGGCTCCCCACTCATACTGCTCCATCCTTTCAAACGTTCCTCCTGCCTGCTCCTTCCTCCCATCTGAACAAAGGAGGCACACAAATATTTGTTCAAGGACTGCAGGCTCCCCATGGTGCCCCCTCTCCCTCCTCGCTTTCTAATCTGTTTCTCTCACAGTCCTGACACCCACAGACCCAGGCCCTTGCTGCTTCCACGCGTGACTGCTGTCCTTCCTGACTCCTCACTAGAGTCCCAGCACGTGAGGCCCTGCCTGGCCAGCCTGGGTCCCTGGGACCCACTCTAGCCACCATGGCTCAAAGGAGCCACTGGAGCAGCACAAGTGCCCCCACCCACAGACTCCCAAGGGATGGCTTAGAGGCCATGTTCAGGCAGGAACAGACGTCACAGCCTCCAGGGTATGGCTGGGCTGCTGACCCCAGCCACCTGTCCACATGCTTTGCGCCAAGGGTTAGCACACTTTTTCTATAAAGGGCTAGAGAGTAATTATCTTAGGCTTTGTGGGCCATATGGACTCTGCTGCAACAAGTCAATTCTGCTGCTGCAGCACAGAAGCATCCAGACAATAAACAAATGAATGAACATGCCATGTTCCATTAAGACTACTTATAAAAACAGGCAGCAGGGTGGACTTGGCCCACAGGTGCTGGTGTGCCAACCCCTGTCTCGCTTAACTGACTGGGGCAGTGAGTGTTGGAACTGTCATGGTGCTTGGTGTCCCCAACACCTTGAAAAGCTCTGCACATTACATTTTATTCTTAGGAGAATCTCCTGGGGCCATCTTGGGGGATGCTGGACACTCAAGAGGCTTTTAATGTCCTGATTCCAGCTTAGGTGAGCCATGTCCTTGGCTATGGTGCCTCTCATAACCTTTCACCTTGGGAATGACAATGGCCGTCAGTGCTACCCAAGCCCGAGTAGAGGCTTGCCCCCTTATCCCTGGCACAGACTGGCCAAGCATCACCAGGCTTTGGGAGGAAGCACAGACCACACCTGGGACGCATGCTCTCCCACCAGTGCCTGTCACTGCTGGCCTCCCACTCAGCCCCACTCACCTGTGGTTCAACACAGCCCGTGTTCCAAGGGTGGCAGGTAGGGACACTCCACTGGCAGACTGGAGGTCACAGCCCATAGGAGAGCCTCTTCACCAGTGGCCACAATCCCTACCAGGCCCTTGGGTCCCAAGAGTAGCCATGGACACTGGGGGAACACTGGTTACGTGGTCAGATCAGCTACCCGCTCTGAACTCTCTTCAGAAAAAGTTGCTACAGTTCATTTCTACCTGGTGCGGGCCCACAGAACACAGCCTGGACCATTTCTGGGGAGCAGTGCTTTAGGGGGCATCTGTCAATCTTTACCTGCTTAGAGTTAGTCAGGTAGAGTTTGGCCGCCAAGTTGATGACTTGCAGCTTGACAATATCTTCCTCTGCTGTGAAGGACTTGGCCATTTTTCTCAGGACGTCAGGTGCAATCTTGGGGACATGCTCACAGTACTCTCCAATGAGCCACAGGATGCTGGCTCGGGCCATGGGCACCTATGGGTGTGGGAGAGGAGTTAGGACTGGGATAAACTTGGACTGTGGGTGGCCACATGGCCTGCCAGGGAAGTGGCACTCCTCCCGTCTGCGCTGGCCTGTTGTATTGTGGTGTTCTCTGGAAATGAGGTAGGGGCAGTGCGAGAGACATGAAAAGGTGGGCATTTCCTGGCAGCATCTCCCCTCTTTCCTGGGGTTTCAATGGCTTCTTCAAGCCCCAAAGTCAGACATGGTTTAAGAGACTGACTTTCTGGATCTGCAGTACCCTCAGCACTTGACTGCCTTGTTCTTCTTCCTCAGTTTTCAGAAACGTCTTGTTTCAATGTTTCAACTTGGCAGAAAACCACATGGGCCACCCTTGGCCAGAGCTTTGGAGAAAACATGAGTGGGGAACTCAGTGAGGAGTCCCCAAAGGGAAGGTGAATCCTGAGCAACAAGGTCAGGGTCACATGGTCCCATCTCTCCCCTCCATCCACCCGAAGACCTTTCAGAGCCAGTATGGAAGGTGTGGCGTTGATTTCATTAATCGTAACGTGAGTAAATCATGGGAAAGATGCCCAGGTGTGGGGGGACATGGGGTTACATCCTCACCTGGATATTGTCTGTGAGCTTTGCCAAGTGTTTGATGATCTCTCCGTGCTGTGCCGGCTGCATCTGTAACAGCTTCTTAATGACGACCACAGACTCTGCGACCACCAGCTCTGTGGGACGGGAATGAGGGTGGGCCCTGGGACAGTCAGAGGCCACACACAGGTGGACAGACACACCTGCGCTGCCCCCGACCGTTGGGTCTCTTCCTCATCCCCCTGCACTTCTCCAGTGGCCCTCAGAGATGCAGGAACACTGGGACACTAACTGAGGCAGACAGAATGGACACGCATTGTGCCTGAACAGACAGGTGGACACCCACTGGCCGTCAGAGTCAGACATGCAGGCAGACACCCACTGGTCCTCAAAGCTGGACACTCAGACAGACAAACACTGACCATCACGGTTGGACAGCAACTGCACCAGGCCGTTGAGGCAGGTGTCCCGGACTCGGCCTATGTTAGTTGCACAGCGTCCAATGGCCTGGATCGTGGCTGCCACAAAGTCCTTGTCCATGCTGCGAATGTAGGTCTGTGGGACACCACAACAGAGTGACCCCCAGCAGGCAGTGACCCCCAGGCACTCTGCAGGCTTCAGGATGACCTTCTGGAAAGCTGTCACCCCTCATTCACTGACTCATCATGCCAAATTAAATAAACTCTGGGAGGGGAGTGACACCTTCACCGGTGACTCCCTGGTCCAAAGCCAGCATATGGCATTGGGAGGGGACCTAAGACAACAGCTTCTTTGCTTTGGGCCCTGAGAAGGCTGACCCACAGGACATTTCTCCCTACGCACAAGGAGCTGCAGGCAGCTCTCCTGGGCCCCTGGCTGAGAGCGGTCCCGGCCCATACCTGGAATTCCCGCAGGACCGTGGGGATGTTGGTCTCGTTGGCCAGGTTGGTCAACACTTCCAGCTGCAGGGAGGCAGAAAATGGGCTTTCTGAGCTCTCATGCCCCATCATTCCAAACACGCTCCACAGACCAGAAAACAACCCTCAGGGCAGTCCTGCTGCATCCTCAGACAGGGAACTGACAGCACAGAACTGTCCAAAAGGCAGGACAACTCTGCCTCCTAAACGGGCCCCCCGACAGAACGCCCCTATGACATCATCATATCACCTCTTTATCTCCACGGAACACTTACAGCCTCCTGTTGCTTTTAGGATCAAGACCAGCGTCCTTATCTCCATCTGTCAGTCCCGGAATGATCTGACCACTGTCTGCCTCTGACCTCCCATCACCCCCCTTACCCGTCACACGGGCCCTTTGACAGACCCCTTCCTGCCTCAGGGCTTTTGCACATGCTGTTTACACAGTTCTTCCCATTCCTGCCCCTGAGTTTACCTAGATAATTCACACTCATTTCTCAGGCCTCAGCTCAAGCCTCACCTCCTGAAGGAAAACTTTCCTGACACCAGACTACTTCCGGCCCTCCTATTTTATGTTCTTATAGCACTCTGCACTGTCCGGTCATACCATATTTCTCGTATGTTTTGACTTTGGTGTCATGATTAACTGCTCAATGCCTCCTCCTCACACCAGCTAGACTGTACCCCCTGTACCCCTGCCCCAGGGCAGGGTTCTTTCTCTTGTACCCTTAGGTCTAGCGATGGGACCGATACAGACCATGCGTTTAGAAGGGCTGCGATGAACTGCTGCTGAATGAAATGACTCAGTAATGCGGAGGCAGGGCAGGAATGGAATGGAGGTACAGGCTCCTGCCACTTTTTCTGTGGGCATATGTTTGCATGAAAGCATGGGGGTGGGGTAGGTGTGTGGGGGCAATGACACTGTGGGTGGAAGACAGAAGGCTGCACTGGGAAAGCAGGATTCTTAAAGTCAGCAGAACTGACCTTGGGGTAGTTACCTCACTTTCCTGGGTCCACATTTTAATAAAATGGAGGTAATGTACACTTCCTGAGGTTATTATGAAAGTCAAGTTACTTCATATGTGATAAGTGGCAAGTCTACAACAAACAGGTCTGGGCAAAGGGCAGTGCCCTTCCCTTGCCCCCCACTCTCAGTCTGGCTTCCTGGGCAAACACTTCCGGCTTGGGCGGCCAGGGGCTTGGGCAAGGTGGCCACTGTGGATATCCGAGTGGGTCTGCGGGTATGGAGGACGGGGCAGAAAGGCCTCACCACTTCTGTGTGTCACTCACCTTCAGGACCTTGATCTGGGTGGGGTCGGTAGACCTGATGTAGAAGCTCTTCAGGTAGGGCTCAAACATCCCCTGGCACAAGAAAGACAGCCCAGGGAGCTCCACCACAGTCCCCCCCTTCCAGAGCCAACCCCTCCTGACCCTGCGCCCAGTACTCTCCCTGCATGTCGCCTCCTCCGCTCCTCAATTTCTCCCCTCCTCCCTCTCACATCTGACGGGGTCTTTCTTCACGGGGCTTTCCCCGCTCAGCCACCCCTCAGGATCCAGGCCGGGCATCTCCGCCTGCATCTGGGGTCTCCCCTTCACTATGCTGCACTGCCAAGGCACAGTCCCAGCCTGCCTTTTCCCAGAGCCCCTGGCAGGCGCAGCAGCCACCCCTCATGCTGCAATGGCAGGCCTCGGTCACGTGCTCACCCGGCGTTTGATGGACATGGTGGCCACATTCTGGAGTACGACATACTGCACCTCACTG